AGCACAAACTGACCATGTGATGTGAATGCCCCCTGTTCGGGTTACAGAGAGAGGGAGGCTTCAGCTGAATGCAAGCCTTCACACTAATGGAGAGAAGCAGCCAACATCAGGAACAGTCCGTCAGTCACTCAGTAAGTGCGCTGTAATTTTCCAACATGCAATTTCTTTCCGAGCGCGGATTATAGTTACCGCGGTGAGACCCGGCCTGTCACAGGGAGCAGCTGCATTAACTCTTACACGGACCTTTATGTGACTTGTTTTCTTTCCCGCCGGCCAGGTCACAGAGCGACGCACCGACTCTGGGTTTATCCACAGACATCTGCAGGCAAGTTAAAAGGCGCAGAAGAACGACTTCGGGGGGGGGGAATCTTTCTTTTCCTGATCACATGACCTCAAAGCTGTCGGACACTTTTGTCTTCAAAGTCCCGAGGATGTTAAAGAGACAATGGTAAGACGAAAAACTAAAGATAAAGCTAAGCTTTCACTATTAACTCTACCTCATCCTTTTATTATTATTTTGTTTTTCATTCTGTTTGCCAGATAATACCACGTGATAATTTCCTAATAATCGAGTGGAGACAGGGACATTCAGGAACTGCTGTTGCATGGCTGCAGAAGTGTTAACTGGCCCGAACCATGATGCTGGTTGCAGCCTGTGGTTTCATATACGAAACAACAGTAGCTTCCAAACTGAGAGTTCACTTGTCACAGACACTGCCTTATCAAATGACTCTGCCCTGACTCACGTCAGAGTCAGGGTCTGCTTGGCACAGCATGGGCAACTCTTCCAGGAAGGCCGAGGGGGAAGAAGAAGAAGGGGCAAAAGATGGTGAGGAGGAAGATGACACTGAAAAGGAGAAGGAAGTAGTGGAAGAGGAAGAGGAAGAGCTTCCACTGGGAGTCGAGGAGCTGTTGGAGAGCGGTGATCCTGTGTTAGACCTGAGCTACCGTAAATTCAAGCGATTACCCTCGCGTGTTTGTGAGCTGATGCACCTGGAAAAGCTGTATGTTTGCGGGAACAGACTTCGCAAGGTGCCTGACAGCTTTTCCCAGCTGCAGGGTCTGCGGACGCTCGCCCTCGACTTCAACAAGTTGGAAGACGTTCCCCTGGCTGTGTGCGAGCTCACCAGCCTCACCCATCTGTATCTGGGCAGCAACCGACTCATGACCCTTCCGCCTGAGTTCACCAACCTGAAGAATCTAAGGTGCTTCTGGTTGGAGAGCAACTACTTCCAGAGATTTCCACAGGAGCTTTACGACCTGCCAAACCTCAAGTCCCTGCAGATGGGGGACAACCGGCTGAAAGCGCTGCCTCAAGACTTCTGTCGCATGGAATCGCTAAAGGGATTGTGGCTGTACGGAAACCGCTTTGAAACCTTCCCCAAAGTCCTGCTGTGCATGGAATCCCTGGAGATCCTAGACTTGGATAAAAACAAAATAACAGAGCTTCCTAGCCTGAAGCGTCTACGGACTCTTCACCTATTTTCCTATGACCACAATCCTGTCAAGGAACCTCCTAAAGTAGGCGAGGATGTATTTCTGGTTGGGGAAGGGGCTGCTGAGTTCCTGGAGATCCGTGAGGCCAGGAAGGAGAGACGTCGCAAGGCTGCTGAGGAAGAGGCTGAGGAGCTGGCTCAGGAGCTGGCTCAGGAGCTGGCTCAGGCTGGAGAGGAACCAGTGATCCATGGAATCCTAAAGAACAGCAGCTCAAAACCGGCAACGGACGAAGCTGCTGTGAACATCGAAGAGTCCGATGTTAGAGAAGAAGAAACATTGTTTAAGGACGAGGAGCAGGAGGACTGCGTAGAAGTGCCAGTGACCGAGTATGAAGGTGCTGAGCTTGAATATGATGAAGAATTGGTTGAATACGAGACAGAAGAGATGATATGTGAGGGAGAAGGGTTTGAGTATGAAGGAGAGGGGCTGGAGTACGAAAACGTTCCAATGGACTATGAGTATGAGGATGGGGAGGAACTGGAAGACACAACAAGACAAGATGAGGGAGCATGAAAAGCCCCTCTAACTCCAAAATGATTTGGTTCCAGGTGGAAACAGATGTTGGACAGTACAGCAGATACGTGAATACGACTTATTCTCAGATGTGCTGCTAATTAATGATCTGTAATTAACTGTGAAAATTAATTGTCTTGATATTATATTTCTTTAACGCAACAACACCAGTGTCATCTCTCTCAACTGCACATTATCAGGTTGCTGTAACTTATTTTGGTTCTTTGCTATTAAATATTCAGCTGAATGAAGCCGATGCCAGTCCTTTGTCACAGAAGACGCAGTGTGTTTACTCAAGAGTCGTTTCTGCTCATCACAGTCAGTACCTTGGTTATGTGCTTGTCAGCACTGCTTCTTTAAAGCACGGCTGTCTCTGCATTTAAATGAGTGTGTTGGTCAAAGATTTTAAAAAAATATTTACGACACGAGTGTCAGTGCCAAGAAAGAGCGTTGTAGGGATGAATAGCTGGGGTGCCTGACCATAAAAGGTAAGTCCTTAAAGAGGCTTCAAACATGAAGTGGACCCGGAAAACGATGAGGCAGAATATTTTTAGTGCCCCGACAAACCTGAAGGACCCTGCTGGGCAGAAATTCAGCTGTGTCATGAATGCTGTGCACTTCTTTTTGTCACAGACGGGGACATTACTCTTTTTCTTGACGTTATACAGGCCGGGCCCTTGTTCTCCTCTCATTTCTGAGCACATTATTCATGTGGGGCTCATGCGTAATCCTGTCCTTTGTGTCTGCACAGATCTTTTTCCTCGTATCTCATTAAAAGAGTGAATTATTGATCTGGTGTTAGAATATTAATGCGTGTACTCATGTGACAGCAATAGTTTAACACAATTCAAAAGAAAGTACAAAGAGGTAATTTTCAATAGATACACATACGGGTGATGGAAAGCAATAAGGTGTGTATTGCAGATAACTTGGTGTAAGGGTTTAGAAAGACAAACCAGAATAAAATGGGAAAATGTATAGGTAAATATTAGTAACTGTTACTTCTGACTGCTACTTTGATTTTGATTTTTTTAATGACAGTAGGACTCTAAAGTTTCAAGTGTTTAGGGGTAGGAGTTTATAAGTTCTCACTTCTTCCTACCCCATTTTGAGCATGATATGTTAACTGAAACAAAAAAATCTGTATTTTCTCTTCTTTCTTATGCACTTCTTGTTACTGTGCACTATTTTATTTTATATTTGTATCATGTTCGAATAAAATTTCATTTCATTTCATTTCATTTCATTTCAAATTTCATTTCATTTCATTTCATTTCATTTCATTTCATTTCATTTCATTTCAGTATCTCATTACATTTGCATTGGGACAATGCAGAACATACACACTGCTCCTTTTAAATTTTCATGCACCAATAGCTTCTATTGCTGTGTCTAATAACATTGGTGGTATTAATAGATAAGACGCAGGAATGTGAGAAATGAGCTTCAAAATACTATTAATGGTCTCCAGAAGTCCCCTAATAGGAATCTGATGGCATCTGTGGGAAGTAACCCAACCTCAACCCACAGGACCCAAAGGATCTGTTGCCTATATCCTACTACAATTTCTTCAGATGCTTGTGGCCTCCTTTCTGACTGCTTAGAGCTTTTTCAGTGTCATGACAGGATCGATTTTCTTCTTCGACAGGGGCGACTGCTAAAGCGTTCTTAACCTATAATTTTTTTCACATTTTGTTGCACAACAACAACAAAAAAATCAATGTATTTTACTTCATACTTTGGTCCGTCAGATCAACTGATGGACCAAACGCACCAAGTAGTGGACAACTGTGAAGTGAACAGAAGTGTGGTGTGCATTCGTATTGGTCATTCATTTGTAGAACCATCTTTCCATCCGCTGTCTGTGCCTACTTGTCCCTGCAGGTTCGTAGGAGCATTTACAACACAGCGACACACAGGACAAACAACCATTCATGTGCACACTAATAACTATGAGCAATTTGGGGAAACCAATTAAATTTACAGTTGTGCATTCTCGACCAAAAGAAGAAGCCAAAATACCACACATGCAGAGGAAGAACATGCACACATCATGCAAAAAGACCCCTGGATGTTTTTGCTGCAAGGCAGCAGTGGTATCAGCTATGCCACTGCTGGTATCACTGTCTTTGAGTGTTAGTCTCTGTCAGCTTTGTTCGTCTAGAGATTGGCATTTTTGCCAGTTTGTCTTTAAAAATTGGTTTAAAAGTCACATTATATGGAGAGCAATTAGTGCCAAATATTTTCCACTAATTTAATCTAGGTGTTGGCACAAAATAAGTAACATGTTAAAATGGTTTTGTCTAAGCTTATTGTAGCTGTGGTTTTACATTTAGGGTTGTTTTCCTCCTGGAAGGTGAACCTCCACCCTGGTCAGGAAGTGTTCTTCCAATTTCTCCCCATATTTAACTTCTCTGATCTCCCCTTCAACTTTAAATTTAAGCCTTGTAGAAAAAAAAAGTTAAATTGCCTTCAACATTAGAATTATGTGGTGATATCTGCTGATTTATCATATACAAACCCTGAAAAAAAAAAAAATCATTTGCACTGTGTGATTGCAGGATTGCAAAACGTGAAAAAGTCAAATATTCTGACGTCAGCACAGAAGATGCAGTAGTGCAGTGGTATAAAGTTGTAATATACACAGTTTGTCATACTTGGACTGTTATGTATTTAGTCCAGATTTGTTGGTCACTTTTTTTGCATGCAGCCGTGGGTGGCATAACAGCTTGAGAGTTTGCAGAGGTTCATGCAAATCGGAGTCTGCTTTAGTCTGAGTGGAATCGTTTTTCACCTCAGTTTACAGTCTTCTCATTCTCTGTAGGTCAGTGACAACAAGGTGCTTTTAAAGTGAGCACATCAACGCCTTCAGTCCCACAAATGATGGGCTTTTATAAGTAAACCAAAACAAAATGCAGTTTTGCATCTTCTCCATGTACATCTGGAGTTTGTATTCTTCTACAAACAAAACAAATAAAGACCAAATGATTTGCTTAAATAATGAATTTTATTTTTGAGATGAGAAGACTTTAAACACAGTGAAAACATCTAATGCTTCAATATGAACCTGTGGAATAAAAAAAAAAAAACAGGACATGTGAATCATAAAAATGAGCGCAATGTTATATTATCCAGGCTAAAATGTGACAATACTTTACCTGTCTGTATTTCGTTTGTTGTAGCCATTGTCCTTTGTTTGGCTTGCGTTGACAATTGATGAAGTATAAAAAGTGTGCCTGTCCTTCTGACGGAAGCTGGAAAGTAACGTAATTCTTGTCAAGTTAAAAATTCCCTCTTATGCGCAACACAAATAAATCAGGACAGCAAGATACCACAAATTAACAGGAAACAAGAAAAACATTCTTCTTAAAATTCTATGAAAATAAAAATCTAATCTAAATTTCCATAGCTCACTTTGTACAAAAGAAACATTGAGCAAGGGAAATCTGTACTTTTTCAAATCACTGTAATCAGTTGAAGAATAAATGATCTGAATGATGAACAATGATGAACAAATGATTTATTGCTAATTCATAGTTTATCAACAAAACATTTCAAAGCCAGGACGTCTGGCTCTAAATTTTTTTTAGCATCTAAAACAATCTTACACCACAACCGACAGTATTAAGACAAAAAACACTTACTTGTTATTATAATGTGTAGTGAAGTGTATCGGATCCAAAGGTCCCTTAGAGAAAATTTCATTTGGCATATTTAAGCAAAATCCTGAGGGTTCCTAAGGGAGAAAGGAATAAAAGAAAAGATAAAAAAGTCTAATCAAAAATAGATGATCTATTAATTAAAAACAAAACAAACAAACAAAAAAAAGTAAAAGTCTGACCCTGTTTCCAGTAGCCTTCACAAGTGGTACACGACTTTTCACTTCCAGTGGTGGCAGATGAAGGCGCTAGAATATTATGAAACAGGACATGTCAAACATCTGTACAATAACAGCAGCTTAAGAAGAATACAAGTTGGAGGATATAGGGACTTACTGGGTCGACTAAGAGGGTGTTGGCACCACCTGTATACCCTGTTTCTCTGGAGGAACAGCTGCATATTCCTGGCAAGCGTTCTTTTCCCTGAAAAAAAAAATGTTTCATATCAAAACATATTTGTGTTTGTTTGTCCAGTATAAAGGGATTTGCAGTGAATGTGGCTCAACCTGCTTAAACGTCGGAGACAGGTAGTCGTTCGTCATCACTGTTTTTCTGATCAGATGCGGAACCACCTGGACAAATCAGCCACAGTTTGAAAGGGAAACACTTCACAAATAGACAAAGTCACATTCAGAAGTAAAGGAGGACCACATATTTTTCTTTTTCCAAAATCTCTTTCTTTCTTACTGTTTATTCAATGTCACATGCTGTTTTTGTTTTGTTTTTTAATTATATAAAGCACCTTGAAATGCCTTGCTGCTGAAATGTGCTATACAAATAAAATTTGATTGATTGATTGATATGCAACCATATAATATAATAATTTGGAGGAATGACAGAATACCGTTTTCAAACTGTATTTTTTTTGTGATGTTGCTCGTAGTAAGCCACATATGAATCTTGCAAAACAACTTTTTTCTTTAGCTGTTCTGTAGCTCAGACTTGTATAAATTGCTTTTACGTCAGTCTACTCTCTGAGCTTTGAAAGCACCAGAAGGAGAACAGACAGGAGTGACAGAAGGTGACATTAGACTTCAGGAGAGGAAAAAACATGAAAGCATCTGCTTGTGAACCAATGAATATAAGTTAAGAAATTTGCCCATTTTGGGACAATGAAGGATGTTTTATTCTATACTATAAGACATGTAAATGTAAGGATTTTTTTTTTTCAAAGAGTAACAAATATATATATATTTTTTTTAATTTTTTGCGTTATATTCATAATCTGAAATGTATTTTTGGGGGATATTTTATGTAACAGACCCACAGACAGTAGTTTAAACTGTGGAATATAAATAAAAATTACATGTTATTTGCTAAATGCTTTACAAATAGAAATATGAAAAGTGTGGCGTGTATATGAATTCAGCCACCTTCACTTTAAAACATCAAATTAACTTAGTTGATATAGTCCGCCTGGGTGTAATTTATTCTCTATTCTAGGCCTCAGAGGCTTGTTAGAGACTATTAGAGAATGTATCTGCAGAAAAAAGGTCGATTCCACAAAGTATTGATCCAGAGGCTTGAAATGAGTCCCTTTCACTTTTTCATTTCGAAACACATGCATCATGCAAGAGCCCTTCTCTTAAAGCTAAGGATGATTTGCTACCTCAAATCACAGATTTAAAAAGCTATGAGTTTTAAATCATCATAGCTTTGATGATTTAAAAATGATCAAAGCTATGAATATTTTTTAACACATAAAATCCCAATTAAATATTTTGAGAACATGAATACTTTCACCACGTTAATATGATTGCTTACTATTAAGTAATACTCACAGTGGCATGATTTTTGTCCCGAAAGGTGATGTACTGTAGGTCTTCTCCTTCGGTGCACCCAGTCTCCAGTTTTGGACCCATATTCATGTGGCGAGAAACTGCAGCAAGGATATCTGTTAGGGTCTCTGTCATGTTATCATGTTATGTCATCTTATCATCTGTCTGCAGCCACAACCTAAGTTTTTACCTGGTGGTAAGCGACGGGGCACAAACACTCTTTGGTACTCTGTCTGAAGAAAGGCAGAAGGTAGACAGCTCATGCTTGTTTCAAGTCTGTTGAATTGTAAGGATAATGTAGAGGAAAATCTGTAGTACCTGATCCACAATAGGCTCTGTGTGGCAAACAGCGCTCACTTGATGGAAGCCGCTGGTCATGGGTTTGTTAAGGAGGCTTGGCAAAGCTGTGGAGCCATCAGAGTAGGTGGGACGCTGGTAGTACCGCATATTTTGAGTTACGAAATTGTCGGCTAGCCACACTCTGGAGACAGGAAAAAAAAATACAACTGCGTCTCAAGAAACACATCAGAAGTAACGGCTGTTTAAAAAAGCATTTTAGGAAACTTGGAATGAAACAACAAATTCACTGGATTTTTTTTTTTTCTAATGATCTAGCTTACCAAGGCGCCACGGCTCAGCACTTTAGTAAATTATTTCAGAAGCAAAAGGTAGAAAAATATCAGTTTCTGTAAGATTAAGAAGAGCTAAAACACTAGCGATGAAATTGTGACATTCAAAGCACAGTGCTTAGTGCTTAAAAAAAATATACATAGACATCTACCTCAAAATTGGTATTTGACTTTACCGAACACAATCAAACACATCAAAGTGTGCAAACAGAGCCATGAAATGAACAAATACACAGTGAAACAATGAAATACAGTTTTAAATAAAAGTTGATTTGAAATGGAGTCTTGACAAAAGTTCAGTCTGGAAGACTCTAGTCGCACCTGCCTCATCAATCAGCGCCCGCCTCTCTGCAACCTGGACCTATCGGCGCGGACCAAGCCTCGCTCCAGCCAATCATCGTTTGGGCTCCAGTTCAAAAGGACCTTCACCCATAGCCTCCTCTGCTCACCAGCTCCGATCAACCCACCTCCACCCCATCTCCACCTTCTGTTCCCGACTCTCAGGCCTCATCTTCCTCCGACCACCAGTACAGGCCCCGGGGGGTCTACAGTCCTATGCTGCATCAGGAATGTTCATCGAGCTCATCGAAGTCCAGCTCGATGTCCCCGGCCGGGGCCTGAACGCCAAAGGACTTTGTTTATTTTTATGTTCATTTTGTCAAACTCTTTTAATCGCCTTCTTTCTCCGTTTGAGTCTCTCCAGATTGAACTGGGATTGGTTTTCTACTTTGGATAACTTTTTCGGAGAAAAAGTCAGAGCAGAACTATTGTGTCACTTGGTCAGAGCAAGAGTGAGAAATAGCTTGCTTTCACCCATGCCTGACTCACAACTCTGCCTGAGTGTTTCCCAGTGGACAGTGATGACACTGGACAGTGAAAGCTGACGCTGTGGCGGACAGTTCTTACCTGCCCTGACACTTACCCAAAGTGAGGGTTGTCAACAAGGTCCAAACTGGGCTGGTAGGATAGAACGGGTCTTTGGTTCGATAGAAAGCCGGACGCAACGGGGGCTCCAAGGCAGGAATTGAAACACATCCTGGCTGAAACAACAACTTGTCTGTCATAATCCAAAACTAAATCTAAAACAGATCGATTTGAGTTTTTGGACTCTGACTTTCTCATCCTCAGCTGACCTTTAGGGGGTGCGTGACTGGCTTTGTTCAGTGATCCCCGCCTTTCAGTTTCTTCAATAGGCGGTATGACAATCCTCGGCTGTCCAAACATCTGTTTATGCACTGTAAAAACATACGATTTTACCAAGAGTTTTCCTTTAGTTTCTAGTGCAAATATCTTAGTACACATAACATACAACAAAACTAACTTAAGAGGAACTTTTCAGCAAGATAGGAGTTTGTTTTAAGTAAACAATTCTTGAATATAAGAAAGCACTAGATTTTTTCACTTGAACAAGACATTAGTGTTATGAGTGAAATAATTTGTCAGTGTATTCAAGAATTACTGACTTAAAACAAGCTCCTGTATCTTGCTGAAAGGTTACTTTAAAGTTAGTTTTGTTGTATTTTAAGTGTACCAAATATTTGCACTAGAACTTAAACCAAAAATATTTGGCAAGATTTTGTGTGTTTTTGCAGTGTGCTGTAATAGAAACCTTCGCCATTAACAGTGATGGTGGGAAAAAATCCTTCAGGCATGTTGACACTGCAGCGATCTGAAATAAATGTAGCAATGAGTGCATTTTTTAGATTTCACAATCAACTGGAAAAAAAAATGAAGAACAGTTTGTAAGAAAGAACTGGAATCTCCAATTTTCAAAGACAGTTTAAGTCAGCATAAGGGCAGCAATAGCAATCTCACCTTATTTCCTCTGAATGAGTTAAAAGTAAAATAGAGATGAGTGTGAAGAAAGCTTGATCTAGGACACACCTGTGTCTAAACACTACGTTGTTTGTTCGTCTCTCTCTGTCCTGAGCCGGTTTGTAGGTAAACACATTTCTGTTGCTAGGAGATTCAGCACAGGGGCAGAACATTACAACTGAAGTGCATAGAAATTATTTCAGGTGTGAGCGTAATGTTGTTCCACAAGGAGGCATTGTTAAGAGTCTCTTTCTTCCTTCCTGCAATTTGTTCAGTTCAGCTCCTTTTCTGCAATTTGTACTGTAATAATACAAAACACCGCAGACAGCTCGCTGTTGCACAGAACCATCAAAGGCTTCTTTGACGGCTTCAGATAGGAAAATAGGCGCCATTAGAGAGTGAAAAAAAGAAGAAAAGGCACATGTAATTATTGAAATCTGTAAATATCAAAGGTGAAATTATGCGGGTGCCTTTTAAAAAGAAGCGAGCAGACAAAATGACTCTTACATTGTACTTTACTTGTGATTTATGCCTTTATCACCCGACATGATGCACAAAAGGGTCTTGTTGATTAAGACTGAAATGACTTCACCTGTTCATTTTCTGGCAAGAATATTTCCAGGTCTGGTTCTCGATGTGAAATAATATCGCAGCAGTTGGATCTTTCTTTGCTCTTTTTATTCAGCTTACTTTTCAAGACCAATCAAAGCGACAGATGGATGACATTTATGTCATTCTTCAGCACTTTCACTTTGCCATTTTAAGTTATTTCTTTAGCATATAAAGCCACTCATACTTTAAATACAAAAACCAATGCTGAGGAACTCATTCATGTGGTTAAATCTCATGTTTTATTTCGTTTTAAACCATTGACACACACACATCAATTTCTGAATACACTGCAAAAACCACAAAATCTTACACTTTTTTAGTCTAGTTTCTAGTGCAAATATCTTTGTATATGTAAAAAACTGACTTACAAATAATTTTTCTGCAAGATGTAGGAGCTTCTTTTAAGTGAATAATTTCTTAATATTGATTTTTATTTTATTAAACCTTTAATTAATTGGTTAAAAATCTGCTGAAATCAAAATATTTTTCAAAAGAGGATGAAAAAGTCCAACTTCTACTGGTAGATCATTTCACTTATAACATGAGGAAAATGTCTTGTTATAAGTGAAATAATCTGCCAGTGGAACTAGTAATTTAAAAAAAAAATCAGTACTAAAGAATTATTTACTTAAAACAAGCAACCTGCTGAAAAGTTCCTTGTAAGTTTATTTTTGTCTTACTTCAAGCGTACTAAGAACCTGACGTCTGTGGACAATCAGTGCATATATCTGGTCTCCAAGCGTAGGAGAATATTTTTTAAAAGATCTGGTTTAAATTCAGGTTAACACATTTTTGCAGAACTCCATAACCTTCTGTTGAGTTTTATTCATTTCTTTGAATTCTGTGTGCTGCAGAAAGGATGAACTAAAACAAGCCAGACAAAGAGCAGCAGGAACCAGAACAGCTTTTGTACACAATCGGTCCGGACTGATTCTCCATGTGTCCACTGGATGGCATTGTGATGCCGCCATGGCTCTGACTTCAGTCTAAGGTTATATAAAAATGATGGATGGTTTGAAATTTGCATGACATCTTGATATAAAAAAATGTCCATCCAGGACAGGGTGTGATAATTCACTGCTTATAGCAGCAGAAAATGTCTAAAAAAGCATACACACTTTAAAAAACATACATTCATATCAGCTTTTTAATTCAAAACTGACTCTTGGACTTCTGAAAAAGCAACATAGAAAGATGATTCTCTTAACTAGAAAAAAATAGACTTTTTTCACAAATCATACGCAAATCCTATATGCTTGTGCGTCTCTTCAAACATAATGTTATTTCATACACCTTTTCATCAAACTGAGCTCAAAACTGCAGCATCACACTATTTCTACACTTCTCCTTCAATTCTCACCTCCCATTTCTTTTCGTGCCGTCTAATTTCCTCGGACTCACACAGCTTTTTTTTTTTTCCCCCCACCTCTCTGCTGCATCACTTCTTGCTTTCTTTTCCTTCCCTCCATCTGCTGAACGCCAGCAGTGCATGGATAGAGCCTGTCTTTACCAAGCTGTTGCTGGCGTTTTCTGTTCCGCAGTCTTTCTTGCTTGACATCCTGTCATGCCAAACTTGGAACTGTTTATTATCTCCTCCAAAAAATAACTACGGGGAAACGCCTGCATCATTGAAACTGACATCTCATTTCCTGCTCCTTTTCTTCTAAACACAATGTGCACGTTATTGGCATCTATAATTATAAATTCAATGGGGGATCCACACAGCAGGGTTAGACCCGGATGCCTATTTTCATTCCAGTTCAAGATTACGCCAGATGATTTGACTTGTTTGAGCAACTTCAATCTGACAGTCAGAGTGGGGGAACGGGTAAAACACCTGCTGTCCAGGATTTGAATGAGGATCCAGAGACTCTCAGCTTTCCTTTGATTGTTCATCCTGAGAATGCAGCAGCCGGTGTTTGTTCTTCATCTGCATAATTCACACGTAATGTGACTGCTCAAGTGAAACGCTCAGTTGCATGCAAGCTTTTGATCAAAACATTCAAGATAAACAGACTGTGCTTTTTGCATGTTGGTGCAGCTTGCACTTGAGGAAAAGGTGCAAAGACAAAAAGTGGAGGGGGGGGATCATGCAGCTGTTCTAAAAATAGACCGAGGTGATGCAAGCAAGGGTCTCCCGTTGTGATGATGCACTCGGCTTGCCCGCAGCCGTCTGTTGAGGTTCAGACCCTCAGTGCTGTCTGCAGGGGCTCACCTGTTTCTCCTGCTGCTGCTGATAGTCTGCAGCTCTGGGAGGCGGCGCTCCAAGGTTTCCCTGTCAGTTTAATAACCTGCTCCCTTTGTCTGCCATAAAAAAAGCATGGAATTGATGTTTAAGGACATAAAGAGCCAGCTCAGGCGCTCAGACCTGTCTTTGTGTTGCCGGGGTCTCGGAGATGCTCCCTCTGCTTCACTGCTTCACTTCTGCAAGGCTTATCTCCTTGCAGCCTCCTTTCTAACTTCTGTACTTAATGGACAAATCTTCCATGCATGGTTTGGAGCAAATTGCACTGTCATCTTTTTCCATTCTACGTCTCACTCAGCTTTGGTGAATATGTGGAGGGTGACCGGAATGTGGTGTGGAAAATTAAGGCATGAAATAAGACATTTAAAGTGAAAACAACAGCATTTCTAACATCTACAAGGGAGATATTTTGACACACATCAGTGGAACCAGAAGTGCACAGATGACTGAGATGCTACTGAAGTAAAAAGAAAACAACAAAGAACATAAAAACCTGCAAAACAATTTACCCCAATTACAAAGATAATTTTCCATCACCACTAAAAAAAGGAGGAAAGTTTCCTCCAGACTGCAGGATGAAACTGTGTGATTCATTTTCTTTCATGCTGACTAATATGTTGCTCAGAGCCAAAGCTGTCCACTACACATTTTTAATTGGTCTTGAAGGCTAAAACAACCTTTGCAAAATCCCATTTCCTTCAGCAAATGATGTTAAAACTTTTCACAGCAGTCCCCATTAAATCAAACTGATTTTCCTCCACACATCACTTTCTGATCCATCAGTAACAGATTTATTTGCAAGAATGCAGAGACATGCAAATGCATTCATAAACCTTAAACTTTTTCTTCATTTTGAGACAATAAAACTAAATCATTTTGAGGATTTGATGTTGTAGACCAATACAAAGATCTGCATAATTGTTAATCTTAAAAGTCTAAAAGGTCTGTTGCAATAACATGATAAAAAACTCTGTAAATATTCAAAAGGGATACATATTTTTGCAAGGCGGTGTATGTAGATGCGTTACACTTTCAGTACCATAATGAAAAGATTTTTGATTGGATTCAAGGTGGAGGGTTTCCTTTGGAATGTATTGAATCAAATGGCACTTTGCTGACCTCTCTCACTAATAAAGGTGTTCTTTTTTGTTCACAATCTTAGTTTTCAGCTCAAAAGAGATTATGGTGATTTTTGAAAATGGGAGTCCATTAAAGGCAGCTCTTTGTAACTAAAAGTAGAGGAGCTAAATGCAAAATGGTTTTAAGTTACTCTGAGTTCCCTATCGGAATATTTTCCCACCAACTACATTGACCACATTTCCCTAAATGTTCTGTAAAAATAACATCTTACTGTCCCAGATTCAAGTTTACATTAAAATTAACCTTTTTTTTTCATATGGACCAGATTCCTCCAACATTTCAAAAAGATCTTCACAGCACAATTAAGTTAAGATACCAAGTTCTGTAAAATACACTGACATATTTCCCATTGTTGCCTACTGGCTTGCTATACCAGAAAGAAACACGTTCATTTCTTTTTTCTTTTTCAAAATCGGTGCTGAATTACTTACCATGTATTGGTTTTGCCCTCATTGAGAAAATTAAAACACAATCTTGCTAAATTAAATTTTTCTTCTCTACATCAGCAAGAATCCTCTGCCTTCCAAAAATGTTTCAAGAATCTTTATGAACATCAAGTGTTTGAATTGTGATCATCTTGCAGCTGTAACCATAGCAATGTGGGTTCTAGAAAGCACTGAATGAGGAAGCTGCAGAGATCATGAGATTTTGAAAAATCATGTTTGATTTTACCGAAGAAAAGGACGACGAGACAGACCAATGAGGCTCTGAACACAAGTGTAGCAAAAATGATTCTTTAATATGGAACAACATCAGAGCTCAGCTCCAAGGCTCCGTCCACCCAGCACACTGTGTAACACTGATGAGTGGAGGAGAGCGAGAACAGAAAAACAACAACGAAAAAAACCCCAGTAAGATCACAGTCCGCTCGGCCCAAAAAACAGGAGAGGCTGAAAAAAATAAACATGGAACGCAAAACCAAAGTGCTACTGAGCTCCGCCCTGAGACGCCCTCCCTCCCTTTGCTGGGCGCGGCTGCAGAGGCGCGGCTGCAGAGACGCGGCTCCCCGCTGCCTCCCAGGGCTCTCCCGACCCCGTCCCGCTGTCTCGCCCTTCTGTTCCGAACCAGGGCCGACCAGAGAGGAGGTGGGTTGGAAGGAGCAGAGAGCCACGCGCGGCGGTGTGGCGGTTCTGCGGCCCTCAGAGGGACGTGAACAAGGCGTCTCGGTTATTATCATGGCTCCAGTGAGAGACGTCTGCAGTTCGGTCCTTCTCTTTGGCTCCCAGTGAGATCCAATCATCTTTAAGTAGCTGTTCGGTTCAGGTTCAAATGGAATGTTTGAAGTTTTCGTTTAAGGAGAATGAGACGAGAACAGGAGAGGGAGGGCGTCTGCCGGGGCAAACCCAGTAAGAACCCTTTACTATACCAGTACGGGGACATCAACAGAAGTACTACACAGATATGTACAGAGCAACCAAGCAGCACACTGGAATACCAAGTAATAAAAGTGGTGCAGGAAAAGGGAGGGTTTCCACAAATGTACACATCCCAGTATCTTTAATATGTGTGGTTGGTCCGATCTTTAAGGCGTTTTTTTTTTTTCCTCTCGCTCTTGCTACAAACAGGCAGCAGTGAAGCCGCCACAACATCAACTCTCACATCTGTGCTTGACTTAATATGGCTGCTTTGTGTTGCTGCATGCTGAGCTGATACCGTTCCCTCTCCTCTGAGTTTGAAGTTATGAGGCTTGACTTGGGATGAGGAACATGGATCTCCTCTCTTATTTTTGTGTGTGTGTGTGTGTGTGTGTGTGTGTGTGTGTGTGTGTGTGTTTATTCTCTGGTCCACAGAGCTCTATAGAAAAAGTAACGTGGAGGGTGACAAATGGGAGATCCTAATGGACAAAGAATCCAGGATAGATGATGGGGGATGGAATGGATTACCAGGAAATTAGACTCTGGTGGTGTGCGCATTATCATCTGAATGGGATAGTAAATGAACAATCGAGCAGAGGAAGTGGAAATCTATACTTAGCGGAGGATTAAAACTAAGCGGTGTAATGAAGAAACAGAGCGGATGTGAGGGGGTGGGAAGAGAAAGGAGGAGGGCATCAGCTAGCCTCAGCAAACACAATCATCCTGCATCTTAGCGAGCAATCTGCGTAAGAGAAAAAGAGGGCGGAGGGAGGCACTGCACAAAGAGCACTAAGCACTACGATGGACGGACACACACCTAAAAACACGCACAACTGCACAGGGTTCCAGTCTGCGTTCCACTGCACTCTCCTGGCTGCCAGAACCTTGCTGTGTCTTGTCAAAAAAAAAAAAAAAAAAAATCAAAACAAATGGACAAAAAAGAGATCCCACTGGCTACAATAAAAAAAAGAAAGCAGAAACTTAGAATATAAAAAAGAGCCAGTGGCATCGGGTCTTACAGAAAGCAATTTTTTTTTCTCAGTAACTGGCTTTTGAACAGCTCTACGCTTTTTCTTTTAGTCTACCAAGTATATACTATTAACCTTACCAGGCAGCTAAAATCTATACAGTACTGTCATGGTTTGTATATTTATAGATATTTGTACACTATACAAAGTTGGCAAAAAAAAAAAATACATAAATAAATACATGGAATCAGATTGTACACATCACAATTGTGTGTTTAAAGTTAGAGAACTCTTTGTTGAAGAGGTGGGCCAAGGCAAGTGGAAAAAGGAGTTAAAAGCCCAACCAAAAAGCAGGAGTGTTACCCTTGACATCCCTCAATGCAAAAATAAAACCCCTCTCAGTTTAGATTCAGTAGGTCAGTTAAGAGTATTGCTTATTACCTCCCTGATTTAAAAAACCTCTGTATAAATGGCAGGATTTCGACGCCGCTCGGCCTGCATCTCATTCACAATCAGCAACAGATCGAGTTTGGAGGGGAAAGTAGCTGGGCTTTACTTTTGGTCAGCGTGTGGAGCTTCAGCGTCCTTGTGGGACTCCCTCGGAGGGATGGTATTACAGATGAAGGTAGAACTGTATCCACTGTCTTTCCTGGAGACAGCTGCCGGCAGCATCCGCTAAACCATGTCAGGTCAGAGACGCTCCTGAAAGAAACCTGAAACTGATGAGCTCCGCCGCTGCACCGTGCGGATGCCGGGCCTGAAACATGAGGGCGGGCGCAGCATATGAAAAACCAGATGAAGTAGGATTTATGGCACTTGACCACAATCCTGTTTTTACCAATGTTTTGCAAAGCCATAGCATGCTTTGAACACAAATAAAAGTGCATTTTAATTCCTCATTTATTACAAAGAGGATAAATTGCAGCGATGCACCGAGAAATCATCTATTGGCCAGAATAAACATTTCACACTTGCCCAGCTCTTAACAGTGACTGATTGGCTTAAAAATCCAATCTTTTTTAGGCTCAGAAAACACGAGCGCCAACATGTCACACTGACAAAAACTCTCTTTGGTTTGGAAGTTGTTACTGAGCAAAGTTAGCCGTTTTCAATATAGATGAGACATTTAAAGATGAAGTCACAGGAGACACCAACATTTTGAAAGCAAGGCTGAATGCATTGCAGCAAAATAGCTCTGTTTTAATTCGGTTCTGTCTGTCGGGGAACATGCTGGATTGGTAGTCTTCACAGTTTTTGCTCAGTCTTCAGGGAGCACATATGATAACCGTTGTTCATAGTTTGCAAAGCTAAGTGAGCTAACCTTACTAAATGTGCTAAGCTCAAAGTGCAAAGATCTTTTAACATGTTTCCGAAATCTTGTTAAACTGCAGACATATGCGACACCGACTGCTCTCTCTCACACACAGTGTGACATCACCATATCTTCTAACTAATTAATGATCAATCGGCACAGAAAAGCTCCGTCAGCATTCCCTGAAGTTACAACTAATACATGATTTAACATCTAACAGTGTTTTTGCAGACGAGTCCTGGAGAAAACAAAGGTTGTGATATGGCACAGCTAAAATCTGTTTGGAAGAGGATCGATGGTGCAAGTATTATTTGAGTTTTTTTTTTTTTTTCCATCACAATATGGCAGTTTATAGTTCGGCTTTCTCTCTAATCCTGAACTGTCCTTGCTGGCGTTTGAGAGCTCTTGCAAATAGTTCACAGAGCAACAGACAAGCCGGTTATTTGGCAAGTTCACATCAGCCCAGTTGGGAATTAAAACATGCATGCAAATTACCCTTGTTGCTGTAGGATGATGGAAGCCATGTCCATCCTTATGTATGGCTTCCTACACATCAATAATGACTCCAGATTCGATGAGCAAGGCATCATGGGTGTCAGGACAGGGTCAATCCCTTCTAACACAATGGCATTTCAGTAAATCCCAGAGCCTGTAAGCTGATGGGGGGGGGGGATGTGATGCCAAGCGACTGGGTTGGAGTGACTCAACATGGAGGTGTGTGTTGTTCTCACACACCGCAAAGCATGTTGTAAGAATGCAATGATGCTTCATGGCTACAATTTGTGTCGCTTTGAGTTACCTGGGTGAATTCGGGGACTTGTGGCAGTGTTGCTACAAAGAACCTGGGATGTGTCGGGTACCACTCCTTCCCCGTCGCTTGTCTTGCCTTGACCTCAAGACGCCCCCAACAAAAATACAGCAGACATCAAAAGCCCTTGTTCAAGAAGGGCAGGTATAATCAGCTTCATCATCATCATCAACATCACCATTGTTATTCATGTGTATCGTTGTTTTCTTCATCGCCTCGAGTGACAAACGAAAACTCGGAGTACAATAAATGTTAATTTTCACCAACAATATTTACATGAAGTTTTTTAAAAAACAAACAAACAAAAATAAAGTAATTATTCTTCACAATGCTCCGTAAAGAAACAAAAACACAAGAACACCAAGCACACATACGTACACAGTAACCAACAGTCAAATGTGAACAGAAAGGAAATTATTACTCGTTATTGTTTTTCATATTCGTGTAGTTACTATTCATACAACCCTGAATGGAAGGAGTCACACTGGTTTTCACCAGATGCTTAAAACAATTGAAAGGGTGAGTCGGAGGGAGAGGAGAGGTCCGTCGGTGCAGGGCAGGACGAACGCGCAGACAAACAGCGAAGGTGAGCCAGGTGACTCCTGAACTTACTCAGGCGTCGCAACATGATTCAGCAGAATAAAGCAGCGAAGATGTTCCTCCAGGATGGGATTACCGCAGCCTCACTTTAATCCACACACACACACCTACACACACAAACATTAAGGTCTCCAAGAGAAAGAATACCCCTAATTTAATTTAACAAAGACTACAGCAGGGCAGGCACCTTTCCAATAGAGTGAGTCACTGATGCTTAACTTAAGAAATCCATCAAGGAAAACTACGATGGAATATTAAGGGAAGGAGGAATGAGACAAGGACAAATGCCATCATAAATCTCAAGGGAACATAAGGAACAGGTAGGACCTCTTCAGTTGTGAGAGGTTTAAACTAATTATATAACTTTAGTAAATGTAAATCAATTTTTAAAAATGCATGGACATGTACAAAATAAGCTGTCAAGATATTAAACCACAGGGGTAAGTTTTATACTCTAGTGCACAAAGTCTAGTCTTAAAAGAATGACTCAAATTCAACTCAGCCAACATGGATTTATTCCATTTTAAGAAAGACATAAACGTGTCTGTCAGGATCATCTTTGGGGAACTATGATTGTCTGTGCCAAAGTTCAGATAGAGAGCAAGATTTTTCTGCAACAAACTCTCCAGGTTGACCTGCCATGAAACAAAAGATGAATGTGAGGTAAAGTGCCTCTGGCTAACTGTTGAGCATGGCAGATTTGTGATGGCGGGGGCCTGTTTGTCTTCAAAAACCCACGTGGAACTGCCTGACATAGCAGAACATTTAAAAGTTAAGTTTGGTGGGTTCTGCCAGAAATCTAAAAATGGGTGTTAATTTGGTCTTATGATAGAATAATGATTTCAAATACAATAAGCATCGTCATTCCAGTCCCCGAGCCCAAGTGATGAACCAAATCTAGAGAGATTATGTAGGTAAAAAGAGAGGACATAAAACAATTAGATTTTAAAAAGAGAGCTTATTTTTTTTACACTTAGCAAATGTTCTGAAATTAAATGTTAGATTTTTCACTATTTTTCAACCAGAAGAGTAAAAGATTAATCTACTTAAAAGATAGACTACAAATGCCAATACAGGTCTGGGGATGGTTTTAGATAGAAAAAGTCTATTTATTGCAGAAAAAGGACATGCAACTTACAGCAATATGCAGCAAAGTTGTGGGCAGAATTCAACTTTTATTTTACTCAGGCCCACACCAGCACCTGTTCATTGGTTCTGCCAGGAATTGAATATAATGATGAGAGACAGCACTGAGGCAGAACAAACACACCAACTGGACCCCGTGTCTGGAGGAGGGGGGGGACTCTTGACTGGGAACATCTGTAATCCTGTCTTGGTATATTCATGAGCCCTGGCTTGCTGAAGGTCACTCCTGACATTGTTGGTGCCAAGAAAGCGCAACACATTTAGAGGTGCGAAAGAGGTGGCAGCGCAATTAAAAAGTGGTGTTTGGGAGCTAATGTCTCCATATGTTTAGATTTAAACTTTCCATCCATTTTAGTGTTTTGGTTGTTGAGCTGATAGCAGAAAATATAAAGATAAATTAGGGGATTCTTAGTGTTTTACGGATAGAAGGTTTCTGAAGGATTTTACACTCTGTTGTCAAATGAAATATACCGTGAGGGAACCGGCTTTATAGCAAACACACAGCATTTTTCCCCACAATTTTCCAGAGTCAAACATTTAAGAGTAGTCACAACTGAGAGCATCAATGCTTCTTCTATTTTAACCACTAAAGGAAACTTAGCTGTATCTCGTTTTGTACAAGTAATCCTTATAAATATCCAGGTCTGAGATCACTGTTACGCTTCCTAAAAAAAAAAAAATAATAATAATAATAATAAGCAACAGTTTCTTTATATGCTATAACGATACCATGAATCAGAAATGTGAAGGATCAGTTTGTGTTCAAAAAAGAAAAGTTATGTAATTTCCAGATATGTTATTTATGCAACCTACCAACAGTGACCAAAGTGGCAGAGTAGAATATTTATCATTCAGTAGTTTGATAAACTACTGAATGATATCTGTCTCAATTTAAAACACTTGAGACAGATAACAAGGACAGTAGGGTCAATGAAAAGACTAATGAAACGGGGAAACAGGTGGATTAAAAAGCAGAGCTTTGACGTCTAAAAGTCCAAACGTCTTCTCAGCAGACTATTTTCAAGGATGAGTGGCTTCACAATCTGCCTCATGTTATAAAAATAACAGCGTATCTCCAAGCTCACAGGGTGACTGAGGACTACTTTATAAAGCCTGGTAGCTCAGCCTTCTGAACCAAATGTAACTCAGTTAAAGGGAAATAGCTGAGAAACTGTGTTGACTTAATAGGTCCAGAAAGTGTTTTCACACCTTCAGGAGTGATTACACCGATTAGTTTCTGTATTTACCTGACAAGCCAGGTGGAGCAGCGGTTTGCACTGACAGACAACTGGAAAAAAGGGACTGCTGGTCACCTGGGGGCCTTTCTGTATGATGTCCACAAGCATCCATTGTTAGGCATTGGCTGTCCTTGTGTTAGCCTTGCGATGGACTTGGCACCTGTTCAGGGTGTTCTCACTCCCCTGCCTAATTCTAGCTGGGAAAAGCTCCAATATCAGCAACGATAAAGCTGACCAAGCTAACGAATGGGTGACAAGACTTTTACTTGCACGCATGTTAGTTATAAAAGCACTCCATGCTTCTTTTTTCTTAGCCAGAGTTATTTTTGCAAATAGTGAGCCCCCCCCCCCCTCACCCCCAAGGTCCAAGGAAGCAGATATTGCTCCTTTCTGACCACCTAATGGGAGAGTAATGTGCTGTGACACTGCAGGCACTGGCTGTCAAAACAGTGAGCCCTGTTCCATGGATGGCCAATTGTTCTGAAGGGCACTGGACTGGATCAGTGCATCACAGCAGCCAGCACTGAGGCTCACATGAAAGACAGTGCCCAGAACATACTCGGCACACCGCATGCTGTCCAGAAAAGCTTACCGACACTCATGAGGAGGAGTTATACGGCGCTGGCCAGTTTACAGCTGCACAGTTGTATGCTGACACCATCTTTAGCGTGAATCAAAAGAGATTAAAAAAAAAAAAGGGCAGTGTTGGCAGAAGCTGTGCTATGTATGGACTCGCTTATTAGGCAGTCTTTATACAATGGGTTTCAAATTAAGTGATTCAGGTCAGCAACGGCGGATAAAAGTCAGAAGAATCTCAGTGTAGAGAATCAAGAAGAAATCTGAGAAGGAATTCAGCTAAATACTCGTTAGACTGGTGCGTAACTGTAAGTCCAAGAGATGTGGGGCTTCAGCTTGTTGGACATTTTACACCCACAAAAATCAGACTGCTGTGCTTTTTTGTCATCTAAATATCTTTCATCCAGTTGCTCATCTTCAAAACAAACTAATCTAGAGACATCACTATAGACACAGTTAAAAAGAAAAACAAGTTTCCTGTAATTTGGATGCAGTATTAATGCTACTAGCTAACATCCTTCCCCATAGGCAACAAAGAAGATGTGTGGCTGGGAAAAAAAAACAAACAAAAAAAAAAACAACTATATTCTAATATCTGCATTACATCTTGAATAGTAAACATAATTCAAGAGAATTAGCATAAACCATTAAGCAATCAAGCACTTGATTACCGTAGAAACTGAACACAAGGTGGTGGGAAGCCATTGCTAATGAAGTAAACACAGATAGGGAATCCTCCTACTGTTTGGGCATCAAGAAATGCAGTAAATGCTTCTCTCTTTATAGCTGCTGTTTGAGCTCCGAGTCTCTAAAGGAAGATGAAACTTTATTAATATTCTCAAACAGCAAAAAGACAATTTTATTGCATTACATATTCCTAGTTTAAAAATAAAGACCAAATTTGTTTTTAATTTTTAAAGTAATGGAAAGAAATAAAAAAAATAAAAAATACACAACCGAACCAACTCCCTCACTATTTGTCCCTTCTCAAGTGTTTACACTTGAGAAGGGACAAATTAGCATAGCAGCACAAACCATCATTAGCATAGCAGCACAGTCAGCAGATACAGGAAATTAGAACAGTAACTGCATAAAAACTGCATCAACTTTAATAGTTGTTCATACTTAAATTACTGTTCTAATGTATGATGTGGGTATATTTCAAAGTTTATGAGATATATATAATAATAGATCATCCATATATGCAGACAGACAACTTCCAGGAAAGAAGGTTTTAAATATTAAAGCAATAGCATCATCTTTTAATATTGTTACATACATATGCTCAAAAAATAGTATTTATATAGAATTAGTTTTGGATTTGCTTACAGACTTACTATTAGCAGTTAAGCCTACATTTAATGGCAAAGGGTTTCCTAGTTTTCTATGTTGATTTGGAGAAAGGTTAATGAAAATTGTTTTGTAGCCTGTAAACATGGAAACAAAAGGGGTAACAGCTGTGCTTGCAAATCAGAAGTGAAGAATTTAAATGTTTTCTGATTTACCATTTCTCAACAGACAAATAACCGCTATAGCTTTTTAAATTGAAATGTTCCTTCATATCTTATTTGGTATAGATATAGCTGATTGTTAATCATCACAGCAGAATTAAAACTTTTCAAAAATATTCTACCTTCTCCATAACTGTTATGATGTAAAGTTTAAAGTATTTCATTTTTTTGTCCTCAAGAACATAGAAAAAAATAAGTTTTTCTCTTATTTATAATAGATTGTCACAAGACGACTGGATTGTTTTGGCTTCTGTATTGTACACTTCTGTGTGGTTTATTAAAGTCACCCTTTTTATGGTACACTTTGTGACATCTGTATGAAAATATGATCAATAAATAAAGCTTGAATTTACTTATTTATGACCTTAAGAACAAAACTTTGAAACATAATGTAATCTTATATTTTACCCCAGTGAAACATTGATGTACTTCACTATTTGACACTTTGACATGCATAGGTATTGTACAGTAATATATAATGATATGAGTCTTCTTAAGTAGGTTTTCTTACTTCAGTGAGCTTTATATAACTCAATACAAGTCATTTCTGGTACATACTTTTGGTTTAGAAAGCTATTATATTGTACTGGAAATTTAAATATGTTTAAATAGATGTATTCGCATTAGAGTACATTTGGCATTGAATTTTAATTCATTGAAAAGCACAGTATTGATAATTCAGCTAAATATTTTAGCTACTTCCTGAATAAAGTGCCACGGCGTAGAAAGATTGGAGAGTGCTATAGGGAAACCCTGGGACAGAAATAGGCGTAAAACTTTACAAGAGTGTATTAAAGGTGAACTGCAAACAACTGGGACAAACGGCAAACTAAGAAAGAGCAGAGGTATCTATGAGCATCTAAGTAAGTTTTATTGTTGCTGCTTTATGACAGCTTTATTTCCACAGGTGTGAGTTGAATGTTTCTGACAAACCGGGCAACTATTACTGCATTAGATAACCTCTAATCCACTCCTGCAGTATCTCACAGAGGCAGACAAGTCAATCATCTGAAATCGCACAGGCTGTCCGTCATTTGTAATTCCCATGAGGTGCAACTAAAATTCAGAACGTGGCTAAGAACTACCTTTTCCTGTCAGTATATATACTTATACATACATATATATACATATAAACTATTTTTTCTTGGACTCATTCAGAATAACAATGTGCAGCTCTGAGCTCTGACAAGCTTGATGTTAATCGACACATTGTGTAATAGCACTGTTGTGCTGGCCAGTCTCCATGAGACAAGCAAACGTGCCTTGAATCTCCATTCCAGCCTGACATTTCAAACATCAGTGGACTCCCACCAGGAGTCCTGCAGTTTCCTTCCAAATACACACACAAGCACACATAAGCACTCTCATATTTAGAAAAAAAAAAAACACATAAAAAAGACCAAGAAGAGGAGGATGAGAGCCCTGCATCCTCTGTGTCCTCTGCTTCAACTTCAGGCCCTGAAAACACCGAGCAAACGTCGCCTCTCCCCCCGACTGCAGCCAACCCTTCCAGATTCTCCTCCCTTGATTTTCACCACAGCTATAATCATCACCATCATCATCATCAAAAACTATAATCATCATCATTATTTTTATTACATTTTCAAAAAAGTGCAAAATGAACTTCCCCGTGCCCTCGTTCAGAAGGCAGGGCAGTAGAGGATGGGGAAACGATGGCAGTAAGAAGAGCAAGAAGAGCGCGAGAGAAGAAAGAGAAAAGAGAAGAAGATTTCTGTAAAGTTCGAAGTGCGTTGCTCCTGTAAATGCACACTCAAGTGGCAGAAGGCATACATTAACACAGCAGTCTAACTATACAGTCCAACCTGCTGGAGGTGGACACCCACCAGCATGACAGAAGAGCACAGGGCGAAGACAAGTGTGTGCACACAGCTGAATCCATGTGCACAAACTTTGCTTTCAGCCTCGATTTTCCTGTTAACATTGGAAGATTTCAATTGGTTTCCTCGGTTTGTTGATGCATGAAAAGTGACATCCTGGGATCTCATCTTCTTTTTTCTCTCTCCGTGTCTTTTTTTTTTTCTTCTTCTTTCTGGAAAAATCGGGACGAATCCATGTCACAAGTTTGTGTCCCATCTTTTCCCAGCTTTGGAAAGTTTAGTTGCTTTTTTTTTTTTTTTTTTTTTTTTTTTTTTTTAATCTCTATTTTTGTTGGAGCTACAGCACAGCACCCACAGCACACAGACGACAAGGAAGGCTCCAGAAAGAGGGTTGTTGTGAGAGGAGTGGTGAGGCAAAGTAAGTCACTAATATTGTGCCAGAAGGAAGAGAAGAGGGGCAAAAGAGAGTACAGAGAGGAGAATAGAAGGAAGAGAAGAGACAACAGTGTGAACAAATCCGTCCTGAGTTCAGCTTGTTTCATCACAAACCTGTTATCGATCACTTTCAAAGACTTCAGCTGAACATTAAACCATTCTTGAGTGAAGGAGAAAAGGTTTGCAATGAGAAAAAAATTTAAAACACTTGAGACAGATAACAAGGACAGTAGGGTCAATGAAAAGACTAATGAAACGGGGAAACAGGTGACAGAATATGGCTAAGATACAGTTATCTAGTGTTCATAAGTGAAACCCTGCCAGCCTACATAGCTAAATTATATCTTCATAAGATGAGTACAGGTGTATCGTAACGTCACAGAAATGTTAATTAATTAGTAGAATTAATAATTAATAGAGATTCATTACAAACATCATATTTGGAGCGTTTATGTCTCTTAATTTTGATTGTTACCTATTAACAACTAATGAAAACCCAAATTTCTGTTTCTCAGATAAATAGAATATAGCAGCAGACAGAGACTGACATTCTGTACAAAGGTGGGAAACCACAAGTGTGTGCTGCTGATTGAAAAGTTGAGTGGAAGGAAAAACAGTGGCTGAAAAATCTGGCACAGGCAACAGGGATAACTGAAGCCTGGAGAGGATTCTAGCTCATTTATGATTTTTGGTGAGAATCACAAGGGACTGACTGTGGCTGGAGTCAGAGCTTTAAGAGTCACTGCACACAATCATTTCCAGAATATATTCTGCAACTGTTACCTTCCTTTTGTTAAGACACTCCTGAATGCAAGACACTGACAAATACTTCTTAAAAAGGACATGTTCCAAGTCCTCTTTCCATTAGAAAAGAAGATTTTATTTTTCATTGGTAAATCAAGGTCCCAGAGTCTGGAGATAAAGGGAAGAGGCACAGATTTCAAGCTGGTTGAGGTTGTTCTATTGTATTTTATAAAGTCCAACGTTAGCAGAGACGTTTACCAAAAAGGTTTTAGAGCATTCCATGTTTCACTCTGCTGACAAGGTTTATAGAAGAGCAGATTTTATTTTTCCAGCAGAATATGGCAAAAGTGCAAACTCTCCTGGTATAAATCTCAAACAGTGCCGAGGCTCTAGAGCCAACAGTGAGGATGAACTGAAGGCTGGCGCACACATTTGCAGAGTCACAGGCTGGTGGCCCCAGTCAATTATTGAGTACATAGTACATGTTGTAGCACCACAATGCTGTATTAATTATTTTCATTGGTCTTTTGTAATAACCGACTTCTACGAGAAACTGAATTTGGGGTTCATATTAGCTGCACATCGCAGTCATCAAAATTAACAGACATAAAGACTGGAAATATATAATACTCTAGGTTTACCCACTTGGTATGCAGTGAGTTTCACTTTTTGAGCTGAACCACTAAATTAACATTACGATGGTATTGTAATTTATTGACATCCGCCTGTATGTTCATACAGTGCCTTCTGTATTATATTGTGTAACTGTACTATTTATACAACAAGATTAAATGAGCTCAAATTATTATGATTCTCTAAGATACCAACTTGTTTAACTGGTCAGGGACTGCAGCGACAAATAAACGGATCGTTAGACCTCCATGGGCTGATTGCATAAGGACAGAAAGACAGACATACAGACAGTCAGAAACAGGGGGACTATTGGCAAAGTGGCGACACAGAAAAAAAAAAAAACATACAACAGCACAAAGGGCGAGAAATTCAGAGAGAAGTGGAAGAGGAAATTGAGATTCTAAAAGAAAATAGAGAAGAGTTTAAAGGTTTAAGAGAGCAGATGGCTAATTGTACCCGTGTTTCGCAGCCTGGCAGCAAGTCAGTCTTGTGCATAAGGACGGGAGCGGGAGTAGGGGAGAGAAAAGAGGGGTAGGAAATAGGAGACGGGAAGTGGCCATGGAGGAAGCTGGGTGGTGCGATCAGGCCTTAAGAGCGTGCCACTGGGCGACGTTAGTGCGCGGCCGAGCGAGCATGTCCTTCCAATGCTTTACTTCTGCTGGCCCGCTCTTCCACGATAGGTAGATCTGAGAGTGGGGAAAGAAACAAACATGCACTCTTCATGAAAATTTGTAAACTACTGAGGACATAAAACGCCATTGTATGGCCCATCTCTTCCAAGTTGATATGTTTTCACGTGTATCATGATGGTAAACGGTGTTTGGTATCAGTTATTTCGGAAGAGCAGCAATAAGTCAAAAAGCAGTGATGAGGTGAAGCAGTAATAGCTGTCCTTGTTCACTCACAGGCTGTATTACTAAAGTGATATTAATGCCATTGTTGCCTAAATTAATGAAGCTAGAGGTTGAAATGGTCAATATTCAAACAAAGGAGAGAGTTATAGCTTTTACTTTAAATCTTCTGTAAGTTTCATGCCTCTTGAAGTTTAATGCTAACTCATACACATAGGAGGAGGCGGCTGGTTGGTGTTGTTCAAATTGCTTGGTTGTCATGACAAAACCTTATTTTTTCAAGTTCACAACGGGTGACATTCGCCTAACACGGAGCAAAATTGAACCATTAACAGCAGCAGAAGGCCCCATCTAGTGACTTAAGGTAATTTTAATGTCTACTGGATGTCTGAGCTTGTAAGTGTGGCTTGTCTAAGGAAGAAAAAGTTTCTTCCTTAGACTTCTTCCTTTCTTGCTTGCAGAAATTTGACCCCTCCTGCACAGGCGATTGATGATTTGCAGAAAGTACAATCCAAAGTATTCATCTTTCTATAACCAAGCTTTTATAATAAGCAGAACTGCGTCTATCCAGAGACTTTGACTGAAAAACCAACTTACTGCAACAAATCAGATTTTATTGAATTCAACTAAGCTTTGCTAAATCCAGCAGGCATTTTGAAAGAAAGTGACCCAAATCCTGTTGTTAGACCAGGATTTGGTCTAACAACAGGACAATTTGAGCAAACATGCAAAATCTATTTCAAGTTTTGGAACTACACTGAATAATATTTCTTTCCTACAGAAAAAAAAAATGAAAATAAGTCATTCTACTTCATTTGATTTTAATTTGCTTTTATGTTCTTCGCCCACAAGTACTGTTGACTCTACGATTCTACAACACACCGAGCTAACCCATGACACCTATCTAAAAATCTCTGCAGACTCCCCGCAGATGCTTATGTCATAAATTACCTTGCCAATAACATCGTTGCGGCTAAGCCTGTCCTTGTCCATGACGGTGATGATGATGGTAGTCTCCCTCAGCACATGGGCAGGGACATCAAAGGGGAAAGACTCGTTGAAAACTGGATTCAGACAGCGCTTTATCACCGGCGTCTTCTTCTTCTCTACACGCTTGTCCTTGTGCATGAGCCACACCTTTACATAAGGGTCTGCAGAAAGGACGCAAAAGAGCAGAAGTTTACGCAAGGGTAACTAAGAAAATGCCTATGGATGTTTTTTTTTTTCTCTTTTTTTACTTTCAGGGTCAGCTTTGCAATTACCCTCTTGATTGTTATGGACAGGAAAGGCAGCAGGGAAGCAGAGACCTCGATTGAGCTCAAGGTCAACCTATTCCCTGAGCTAGCAAACATACAAATGAGGAAGTATTTATGGAAATGGGGCTTGGGATTCGTACAGCAAATTCTGGAGCAATTTTATATCTGGTAATAGTAACTGCAGGAAACTCTAATTTTACCAAAAAAAAAAAAAAAGTACAGAAAGCATGTCACAGCAGGACTGGATACTTTTTTTAAACCAGAAGAGACCAAAGTGCGCTGATACACATTTAGCTTTGAGGTTCAAGATCCTCTTAAATATACAGGCAGATAGAGGTCAACAGATATGTTTGACGTAATGTCACCTTGCTGCTGTGACTATGAACAGAGGACACTAACCAGAGTACAAAAGTATTTAAACACCTTGACTGTTTCCACATTTTGTCACATTACAACCTTCTGTGCATTTTATTCGAATTTTACATGACAGACCAACACAAAGCAAGAAATTATTATGAAGACGTAAAGAAAGGAATTATAGACTTTTGTCAAATAAAAGTCTGTAAATTTACAAAGGCAGAAAGAGCTGCAGCTCACTGATCATTCTTTACTGGGCAAACAGTAAAGACTAACGCTCACTTCATCTGTCACTTAATGTGAAAACATTGAAGCACACCGAAAGTACTTTCTTTGATTTGAACAATTCTGTAGAAGCTGCTGTCACTGCAATATGACAAAAAAAAAAAGTGTAAAGAAATTTTTAGCAAAGTACTCATCCTTCTGTGTTGACCGGTCAGTAAGTACCGTGTACTTCAAATTCAAATTAAAACCTCAAAACTTTGAAAGTCAAGGCAAAGGCGCCAAACTGGGAAAAACACAGATTTGAGACCGAGACAAACACAGCAAAGACTTTACCCGAGGTGCCCCCGATATCCATGGCTTTAAGATGGCGAGCTTTGATGATGTTCACAGTGATGGTGTTGGCAGTGGGATTATAGCAGAGAGACACCAGCAGGTCGCCTCGTCTCCCCTGCAAAAACGAACCCACACACAAAAAAAAACAAAAAAAACAATGGAGTGTGAATCATCCGGTCTAAGATCAGATTTCATCAGGGGATATCAAACTCCAGATTACTCACTGCCTCGTTGTGCAATGTTACATCACTGCCCTTTCTGCTCTAACTCCATGTGCCAAATACAGATGGTCCAGTGACCGGGCTGGCTTAGCTATGATCATTGCTCACCCAAAAGTCACATCAGACATGATGAAAGCTGCGACCAAACGTGTCACACTTGCTTTAACAAATTACACCGGGATTAAAAGTGCGCATCAGCCGTAGCTCTGTCTAACGGCCCCTCTTACACTGCCATCACTGCAGGGCTTAAGCTCCTTCCAGAAGGTCTTCAGCTGGCCCAGTTCCACCTTGTTCAGGGGGATTGACACCTCTCCGATGGGGTCGTTCCTGCTGAAGCGGTCGTAGTCCAACACCTGGAGGTAGAGAGTGCGTTCTCTCACCTTCTCGTAAGGGAAGCCTAAAGCAGACACAGGAAGCAGATAACACTGTGGGCGGAGAGGCATAGCTAAGTGGCAGATTGCGAAAAGCATGTTCCTGACAGTACAGAGGGAACAGTAATGTGCAACATGCTTCCACAGAAGAATATGACAAAAATGCCAACGTGTGGAGCAAAAGCTGTACTTCTTGTCACAAAACTAATCGCGTACAAGCTTAAAGGGCTGTGGGCTTGGGAAAGGTTTGAGAATATTCCACCCTAGTTTTCCTACTTTGTCGTTTCACACTCAGCCAATCTCAAAAGTCATAAAAAAAACTTGTTCCTTACAAGAAGAAAAAACTAAAAACTTTTGTCTTTGCCGATGACAAACAGCCTCTGCAGCTTACAAGATGATGATGATTATTACAGCAAGACAGAATATCGGTCTGCTGTTTCTAGGCTGGAGGTCTAATCAATAAAAAACTTGCTCTAATTTCACACTTTGGTATTGAGTTTTCACACAACTAAAACAAAGCTCCTTTTCAATGGAGAAACAGGTCTTTTTGAAATCTGCCAAGCTTGCTGCAAATGAGCTTTATCTCTCTATCACTTGATGAAAAAAAAGCAAAGAAACCAGTTTCATGGTCTGAAAACTGCAGTGTCTTAACAGGTGGAAAATTAACACAATATTTACATTTCTATTCACAATGCCTAATAAACCAGCTTCTTGGTTATACATTCAGACTGTTTGAAATATACAGGATTGTGGTTGCTATTGCTTATCGTGCAAGAAAAACAAAAGAAGTAAATTTTTAATACAACTGTGACATTGAGGTTATAATAAAGTATTTATGTGTTTCTGCCATCCCCCCCCCAATACACAAACACTGAGAGGTAAAATCAGTATTAACAGCAAAAATAATTCTCATTTCAAAACTTTATGCTCAAACAATCCACTTACTCTACAAAATCACTTCATTTATCTTTGTAATTTTAAGGTCTTTGATGGTTTAATCAGGTCGGAAACTGTCGGCGAAATAAAATGTTGCAGATGAAGTTACCTGAGATAAAAGAGCAGAAAATTGAGGGGAAAAAAAATCTAATAAAAACTCAATGTAGGGTATACAATTACCCAAAATTAAGATGAATATATTTTTTTACATTTCAACAGTGACTCAGTCTAATCACAAAAGTGTGATTTGATCCATCTCATTGTGCTTGTATAATTCTAAAAGAAATCTCAAAAATCAAATATTTAACTTCTCACACAGTCAAAATGATTGGCGAGCCTTATTACTTTTAAACAAACTTGCATAGCTATTTAATGGGAAACTAAGTCTGAAAAAAAAATCACAAACATTTCTAACTCGATGTACATCCCACAGAGTTCAGCTAAATTCATCTTTTAAAAAATGGAAGGAGTTTGGGACTATTTAGAGCTGGCTGTCCTTACAAAGTGAGTGACCGGGAAAAGAAGACTGGTTCGAGAAGCCATCGAGACGGCTACGTCTAATCTGAGGGAGTTAAAGGTTCCAGTGCTCAGAGAGAAGAGACTGTGCTTTAAGAAATGTTTTCCATGGTTTCTTACAAATCAAAACTGCATCGCAGAATGTCAAAGAATGTCAAATATGAAAAAAAAAAAAAAAACAGTTCAAAAGACCGTACAAATCTAGTCTGGAATTCAGCCAAAGGCACAAGGGATAATCTGAGAAAAAATGTAAGTTCATGTGATCCGAGTTTATAACCAAACTAGAAAAACGACCTCAAGTATGATGCAAAAGTTCACAAAAAGATGGTTCTAAGAAAGCAAAGTTAATGTTAAGGAGCGGCCAAGTCAAAGCCCAGATATCAGTCTACTCAGGAATTTGTTAGCAAAACATGAAAAGAGCCATTTTACAATCTGACAGTGTTTGAGCTGCAAGAATGGAAAAAGAAGTTATAGCTTGATGGCGACAAATTCACATAGCCACAGTACTGATTATAACCAAAGGAGCATCTTCAATAAGATTTAATTTGAAGGGGTGTGCATAAGACTGACATAATACTGTCATAAGCATGACATGATACCTTTTAAGAACGTGAAGGAGTCTTTATGACTGGCTATGAAGGCTGTGTTGAAGCATCATTCTGTAAATAATGACACTTTTAATGCAAGGTTGACACTTTTAATGGACTTTTAATGCAAGGTTGACACTTTTAATGGACTTTTAATGCAAGGTTGACACTTTTAATGGACTTTTAATGCAAGTTTTAGTACAGCTTTGCATTAAAAGTGTCATTATTTACCAAATGATACTTCATGACAACAGTCAAAGATTCACAAAGACTCCTTCATGTAATAACAGGTGTTATATCATATTTATGACTGTCACATCAGTTTTACGCACACCCGTTCAAATAAAGTATTACTGCATCTTCTAACTGGAAAGGGTTGAAAATGTATGCATTAACTTTACCTTATGAGGCATATTCTTATGAAATTGACTTTTTTATTTTTTAAAATGACATTTTACTTATATTTTACAGATTTATTTTTGTGCAATTGAGGCCCTAAAAACATGCAAAATGTGAATTTTATGCAACACTTCCCCTTTAGGATTTACATTTAAACCAAGAGAAAAAGAATCCAATGGGATTAATTACATTTCAGGTCTTTAAAAGGTGGAAATATGACAAACCCTCAAAGAGGAAGGTTTCATTCCAGTGGGGGTTGAGGTTCTTCCTCTTGACCTTGGTTTCCAACTTGTGCTTCTTGTCAGGCAGCAGGTAGATTTTGACAAAAGGGTCTGAGGTGCCGGAGAAATCCTTGGCTGGCAGGTCCTGGCCCTTGAGAACTTTGACGGTGAGGGTTGTGTTCTGGAAGCTGTAGCCTATGCTGAACTGGATTCGACCGAGTTTTTCACTGACGGGCCCTTCGCCGTCATCATCCTCTGAACCTGGGGACAACTGCAAAGGTCACAAAAGACAAAGCAACGAACGTAAACCGTCACGTGTCCGGCAAGAGCCACACAAGGTACAAGTCAGACCTAAAGGCGCCGACTTTCTGCATCACCCGGACCTCGACAGAGAACAGCCGTGAGGGGGAACGATTTCAGAGTCACATTTTGATCATGGCGCGCTCGAGCAGCTGCTCAGAAACAGAGATTGGTGCAATGTTAAGAAGACTCTGAGAGTTTAATTTCCTTACTAATGTTCTTAAGAGGCAGGAGGTGCTCAGATTAAAGATACGGAGCTTTAGACTACCCGCGACTACCCTCTCACAGCCACTCTGACTGCTTTATCATTGCTCTCCACTAAAAGGCAGATATCTGATAAAAGCCAGAGAGAGAGGGGGGAAGAGAGAGAGCAAGAGAGAAACAGAAAGCGGAGGAAGGAAGCTTTCAGCAAGACGTAAACCTTCCCTACAGTAACATATTCGTCCCACAGTTGTCGTCTACTTTTTTTTTTCTTGACACATAGAAAAACAATCGGGATACAAGTTTACATACATTATTGTGGAGGTAAGCAGCATGCACTACAGTAGACCTTTAAGTGAAAGAACTCAGGTGCTGTTTGGCATGCAAAGTGTTGCTCAGAGAATTACCTGAAGTACTACTTTTTGAAGCTTTCATCCAAAACTGAAATGACAAAGGCTCACTTCTGATTCATCAATACGGGTTTCAGAAAGACGGAGAATTTCAACTCTAATTTGTCAAACAGTATGAGTCACCTTGGATGACTTGGCTTGCTTGATTGCCACTGTGGGAACGGCTGGTGTGTTATTTTCTTCTATTATGACTCGCTCATTACCATCCACAGCTTTAGATCAACTTGCCTTATAAACTTACAATGACTTCGCAGCACAACTCCTGCTGGTGGCAAGAATTACCTCAGAACAATGTGATTTTATTTACTCGTCTTGACAAATATGACTTAGCTGAAGTGCTTTCCATGTCTCAGAACAAATCAAATAAGATCTCAGCAGGATTTCCAAAGCTTTGGCTTGCAGAGTCCAACTTTCAAAATACAAAGTTATCTTTTTTGCCTGCCCTTTTGCTTAAACTACAGCTAATAGGCTACGTATTTTTAAATTTCTCAAATTATATCTGCCTGGAAGCAAATACAAAATTAGCAATACAATTTAAATATTGCCTATAAGTATTGTATAAGTCATACAGACAATACAATTTAGCCCTTTAAACTTGATCAAAATCGTCTTCCAAAAGGATAGTTTGACAAATATTCTCCTGACAATGCTCTAATGTTCATACTGTAACTTATTTAGAGAAAAGGTCATTTAGGACTAACTGTAAAAAAAAACTAGCAAAAGGGAGGAAGGTATTTGGGGGTATGCACTTGATAAAGGAGGCTCAAATGCAACCTGCATATGTGCATAAAAACGCCATAAAGACACCTGTGGCCTTTGCCTCAGAGACTGTTAATAGTTTTACAAATCAACAACACTTAATTTGTAAAAACAAAAAAACTTATGACCCATAACAACTAAATTTGAAGAAAGAAAATTTTTAAAATTGGATTAAAAAAATTTAAAATTTTTTTAATCCACGGAATAATTGTCAGAAAGAAAACCTGTCAGATCTACAACACTGTTGGAATTTATGGGTTTTATAAGAAAATTGAGTTAAGTGTCATCTGAATAAAACTGTTGACATACGCCATAAAACAGACTAGTTGTGTTGTGCCACAGTGGTTGTAGATTTTGCGAAACCTTGGCTTGTTCCACCTTATGAATCCTCAAAGGCTTTGCAACTAATTTCTTTATTTACACCAAAGTTAAGATGGTGCTTAAAAAAGGTGTTTAAATGTAAACGGTTCACAGAAATCCAATGTGTAACAAGTAGCAAAATGTTGATCCCTTTTTGGGCAAAAATACCCCAAAAAACATTGATTTAGAAGTCATTTCACTGTGTATTAGAGACACCAGTGATTTAGTTGAAAACAGCATGACTCAGAACTTAATAACGCTAAAGGTTAGTTACTGCCCAACACTCGAGCTTATCTGTGTTTTAAAGGTTTTTGTGACACTGGTGGTATTTATACAACAGTAGATGTTCAAGAGGAATGCCAGAGACAGAAGGGGAAGACATGCAGCAAATGGTCCAGGGCCAGGAATTGAACCGAGGACTGCAGCCTCTTTGTTGTGCCATAGAACCTTCTGTTTTTGTGTTTAGTATTTCTGCAATAAAAACTTTTTTTTTTCTCATTCAATCTAACCATTAGCCAGAAATGAACATGTGTGTCATGAATTAAATTACTTAAATCAACATTTTAGTCACATCAATTACTGAAATGTGTATGGAAAAAGATTTAAAAGGGGTTATCATGTTTTATTCCAGGCACATAGTGCCATTTTATTACACAATCAAGTAATTATGCAGTACATCTTTAAAAAAAAAATTGGGCCTCAGTCTCTTTAAGAGGCGCCTGCTCTTTCCAAAACTCCACTTTCAGCACATCACCATAGCAATGTCCATTCATTATACCAACTACAACCATTCTTAGGAGCTTTGGACTGACACTGAGACTCACAGTTACCTCAGAAGTTTGCAAGCTGCTGCTGCTGCCACTAGTCTGGAGGAGTTTGCAGCTCTGAGGGGAATGTTTGTGGAAATGGGCAGCACTTTGTAGAGCAGGAGTTCAGACACCACTGAATAGTTGTCATGTGAGAGTCAAGGATTTCTCAAACATGGATGAAAGAATCAAAGCAACACTCCAGGATAGGATTTTGATGAAGGAATAATATAATATCATATAAAGCTCAAAAAAAGATGATTTTAAATAATATTGCCCCCCTCTGTTTAAACAGTACACTAGTAATAATGAGTAATCACATATGGCTGGTTCACAGAAATTGCTTTTAGCCGCATATTTTGAGTGGAAAACCAAGACCTGAGGCAGAAGGGAAGAAAGGAAGGAAGCGAGGGAGGATGCCAGGTGGACTCATCTTACCATCACCATGTCTCCAGTGAGCGAGTTGGCCAGGTCAGTTACAGAAGAGTGCCCGTCGGCATCAGGAGGGTGACCCTTGGGGCTGTTTGCTGGCTTGTTGCCCCTGCAAGCAAAAAATCAGGTTGACAAACGTAAAACAGCTCAAACATTAATGAGCAGTTTACTCATCTACAGAAAGCGTTTGAGCCCACAGGGAGTCCAACCTCCACCTGTTTAGCAGCAAACCGCCTCTCCAAAATGATCCGTTCAGTCCCAGTTTTACTATGGATTGATGTCACTTCATAGGGTTTTTTTTTTTTTTTTTTTAACAGCTATTGCTAACAAAAGCCAAATAAAATCTGCCTTGTATTCCACAGATTAATAATGGGCACAAGACCTGAGAGGTGTAACTCATAGGAAATTTAAGTACATCTTCAAAAAGAACGTTACCTCCACTAGCAAAATAATAAGCACATTTTTAGACAAAAACACAAAGTCAATAAACTTAAAATAATAGAAACCAAATTATGTCCCCAAATCCTTTGAGAGTTTATGATACACACATATAATGACATAAATATAAATATATAAAAACCGCAGACAAACACATATAGCAACATACAGAGGACAGACGTTGCATGTTTAAATTTCTGTGTTGCATCGACAAACAGTTGGTTTTACAGAAATAATAAAAGAAGAGACATGAAATCTTCACTGGCATGGCTGGCACTAAGATACAAATGTTAATAGATGTTACATTTAATTCCCTTCCACACACGCTTGGAGAAAAAAACTCTAAGTTCATACATCATGAAAATAGGAGTCACAAAGAGAAAAACCAAATTAGAATAATAAGACAAAAAAGCATGAGACAGGACAGAAATGAATAGAGGATAATACAAAGGATCTTGTTGATGGACACCTAAGACAGCACTCCATTTAAATGACTAGTCAAGGCACATGAGGAAGTCGAACACTGAAAAACAGTTAAGAGACAAACAAGCAAGGACAGAAACATGGCGAAAGAGAAAAAAATGAGCAGACGGATAGAAGATTCACAAATTACAAAGAGACACAAATAATAAAGACTTTAGACAGAAAATACCAAAAAAAGGAGAGAAATACACAAGCAAGCTGATTGTTTAGAAATCTGTTTTAGTAGAGATAGCAAGTATAACCAGCATGAACAGTATGAAAACAAAAACCAAAGAGAGTGAGATCATAACAAACACCAGCACGTTAGAGAGGAAAAACAGAGCTGCAAGAAAAGATAGGAAGGAAGGAAAGCCTGCAAACACAAGATAGGCTTAGTTTTGTCAGTCTGATAAGAATCAAAGAATAAAAGACAAAAAATTAAAATAAAACACAGAGCTACAGACAATATCTTTAAGAGAAGACAAAGGAGCAAACATGCTAAAAGGAGAGAGAGAGAGCACAAAGAAAAAAGAAAAAGACAATAAATACAATTGATCATCAGGATAAAGCGAACAAGAAACATCTTTTTTGATGCGGAGAGTTTAAAATAACTTATAAATGAGATATAGAAAGAGAAATAAGGTGATATACCATTCAAAACTATAACTTCACTAAAACCATGAAAGGGGACAAAAAATAAGAACATAGGAAGAGCACATTTAGAGTGTTACAAAAGAGGACATCAAAAATTCAGCATCTACAGATGATACAAGTTGTTTTTAAACCAGCCTGATTTTCCAGCATTTTAGCAACACTCTAAAAGTGTGGAGTGGGAACACGGGGCCAAAGCACAAACCGGCATTGGCTACATGTGCATATTTCATATATGCAAGTAGTTGTCACTCAGAGCGAGTGAAGGCAATGCCCTGGACAGGCCATAAAACAAGGAGCCCATAAAACGTCTGTCTGTCTGGCCAGCATTCTCTATCGAGCTTTTCGCCGAGAGGAAGTGCGCGCTCTTTGTTGGTTGCGCTAAAAAAACCTCCAAATTTGGATGAGAATCGATGTTGAATGCAATAATGTGTGCATTTTTGCAAAGGACAAAGACAGAACTGACTGAAGGAAAGTATACTGACAAATAGACAGACAGAAAAGGCAAGCAAACAAGACAAGCAAACACTTCAACCAGCAGGAGGGGGCGGGGGGGGGAAAGAGGGGGAAGTTACCATTTCATGAAGGACAGGGGTTGTTCTTTAGTGATTGGTGTTAGTAGGAGAAGCTCTTAAAAGTACACACCCCAGTTAAAGTGCAGAGCTTTTGTGAGGAAAAAAATTAGGCCAAGAAAAAAAAAAAAAAAACTTTTTCCACATTTATTGTGACATTTATTCTGTGCTATTCAACTGAAAAGCAACAACAACATAAAAAAAAACTGATAGAATGAATAAAAAAGGTAGAACAACATGATTGAATAACTGCACTCTTCACATTTTCAGGCTCCCTCTGATTTAATTTCAATCAGTGTTCTTTGGTATGTGTTGATTAGCATGTCGTGACTTTGTCAAGATAAGGTTCTCCGAATCTCTCAGATTGTGGGGGTGCTGACGGTCTTCAACCTTACCTGGGTGATCCCACAGATTTTCTACCAATTTTATTTTATGAGTCCAGTGAGGCCATTTCAAAACTTTCATTTACTTCCCATGAAGTCATTCCTAATTTGAGCTGGAAGTATGCTTGGAATATCAAGAAGTGTAATCACCTTCATCGTTCTAGCAGACAACTGAAGGCTGTGGATTATAACTCTCATTTAAAATAGATTGCGATATCAACTGTTTCCATCCAATGTCTTAAAATGTCAACTTTAGCTTAGTCTGTATCATATTCTTCACAAGCTTTTGGGAGATTTTACTCAGGCTTGGAAGCTTTTGGATGAAATCCCCACCAGACCCTCTGAAGTGACCCTCAAGGCCGACTCAAAGGATGCTCAGCAAAGGGCGGTGGGATGCTGGATCACACTGCCTGCATGAAACCCCAGGACAAAAGTAAGACTGAATTCTTCTGCTACAAAGGTGGGATTGTTCATCATACTGACCAGTGGCAGATTCAAGGTTGTGGAGAATTTAAAAGACGAGGAACCCACTGGGATGGATTGCAGCCTTATGTCATTTTTCCTCCTTTCAGACTTAGAGACTTTTCCACATGCCAAGACTTTACAACCATTACAACCTGAATTTGTTGACTGCTAAAGTTTTTATTGTTCTAGGTCCCTTTAAACTGATCTAAGATGGAATAACACGATAGAATAGATCGTGATAGAATAAATTATGACTTTTAACAGAAGATGAAAACACGAAAAAATCTGAAAAAAATCAAATGTAACAGGAGAACATTATTCCTGGTTAATCAGAGTCGCTACAATTGATGGCAGGTATCAATGCAAAGAAATTAAGCAATAGTTTAAAGAAGTGCAGACTGCTACAACCCGCTTTCAGTTGAACAGTTCAGGATGCATATCAAATAAAAGTTGGAAAAGTTTTAGTTTAACTGCTCTCATCACAAAACCCTGGGATTTTAAAAAGAGTGTGCACACTTGAAATCCACTGTACTGTGTATTTGTTGCCAAGGGGTGTTTTTTTTTTTTGTTTCACTTTCTTGCACTACATCTAAACTAGAGTGAGAGAGGAGAGGGAGATGCTGGGTAAAGATATGACAGTCTACTCTACAGCGAGGAGAGACTGGTAGGGATTGAATTGAAGTAAAGCAGTGCACCTCCCGCCTCCTCCATCTCCCAAGTATCGACGGGAGACGAACGTCTTCAATTATTAACTCTCCCTCATGCTTCATTCAGAGTTTCAGTGCATTCTCAGGTAAGAGCCAGAGCAGCCAAAGGTGGTCCTGGGCTCTCTGCCTCCAGGCTGTTGAAACAAAGTGGCTGCGGCTGCAGATCTCCAGGAGGAACTAAGTTTTCTTCTCCAGATTTGCACTCTGCATCAAAATGAAATCTGATTCCAATTTTTTTTTTTTTTTTTTTTAAGAAAGCAATATTAATTTTGGCAGATGGCAGAACAGCAACTGATATTTTGGTGCCAATGCTTTCTTTGTCACCCAACCCTTCAGGGGACTGCTATGGTAGATGTGGCTCTGGAAAGCCTGCAGTAGTCTACAGTGTCCAGTGGGAGGCAGAGTGGGTTCAGATCAGATTCTGCCACAGCTAAGACACAGAAAGTGGGCTGTTGGCATAGCAACGACTCTTGAAATATAGACCATATATATATTTATATATATGGGGTTGGGAGGATGTTTGGGGTGCGTCTGACAAGAGGCTGTTGGGAGTGGACTCAAGGGTGTGTTTGAAAACGGGGGCGGTGGGCACAGGGACGGGTGGGTGCAACACACAAGCAAACACACTGAGAACAAAGAAGATAAGGTTTAGGATATATGACAGGTACGGGTGAGAGCCTCGCAGACACATATTCACGTGAACGGACATATGGAGGCAGGCAGGCATACTTTGGGTTTCACCGTCCTGTGATACTATCCTGTTTCGTTACCTGACCGAGGGCCAGCAGCTCGAAGAGAGGGGCAAGGGGGGCAAAGACACTCCACTTCTAGGCTGGAGAGAGACGCGAGAAAGAGAGCCCAACCCAGACCCTCCACCCCCCACTTTTTTCTTTTTTTTTTTCCAAACATTCAGTCTTCCGCTCTTCTGCAAACACTCAAACAAACATGCTGAGACCATGGAGTGATGTATTTCAACATCTATGCTCAATTTCATTGCCACCCACTTGATCTATCATGCGTTGGGAGTGCAGCTCACTTCCAAGGATCGTAGTGAGAACTGCCGCACGTTGTTGGCTTACATAAGTCATCATCCACATGAACCACATCAGCATTCACATTAGAGTCAGACCTGCTGTCATTCTTTAAAAGCTGCAGCAAATCCTTGGAATGACTTAATAAATAAGGTTACGTTCAGTGTCAACTAATTACTTCCTGCATGCTGGAAAGGTAATTTAGCCTAAAATAGGTTTATTTAGTGAAATCCTATTTCAGTAATACACATCAAATTCTTATGATTCTTTTATTGTACATTAGCCGAAAACAGAAAAGATGAAAATTCAAAAATTCCTACTGAGAGTTGCAGATAAGGAACAAGGGGCTGGGCTTTGAGAGTTTGATATTGAGGTTTGTCTTCTATCAATCAGGCAGCTGAATGCAATTCCATGCCACACTTTTCAGATTCTTATATGTAAAAAAAAAGAAAAAAAAGAAAGAAAGAAAATAAAAGATGAAGGCAATTTATATTTTTATTTCTATTCGTACTTAAAATTGTACTTTGCGTTGGTTTATCACATTAACTCTCAATAAAAAATGCTGACATTTATTTTTTTTGTGTTGTAATGTGCCAAAATAAGGAAACGCTAAAACAATATTAATACTTTAGTAAAATGCTGTAAATATTGGAGTTTTTAAGGGTCTTTAATGACTTCACAACAACCCTGTTAAGTGAAGTTGTTCAGTGAGCACACGAAAATTGCTGATGATAAATGGTACGTGTAATTACTCCTGGAACTTAAGGTGCGCTTAGTGTCTCCTTTATGTACCGCAGCTCACTGTTCTGCTTTCGTTTACAGCCTCCCAATACTTCCTGCAATTTTGCATTCATGCCTCAGAGTCTATCACGGCAACTACCTCATCATCCCAAGCAATATCAGCAACACAAAGTCATGAGGGGAGGAGAGAGACCATTTTCAGAGGTCCAATAAGACTCCAAATCCAAAATAGAGTTTGCTGTAAATGTTTTAAATCCTTATTTATCTCAGAGATTGCCTGAGGATAAGGCAGCTGCATTTATCAAACCTGCTCTGAGATGAGGTACAGAAGTCCTGAGTTAATGCTCCTAATAGCTCCTCTCCCAGCTCACCATCCATCTAGCTATCTAAAAAAAAAAAAAAAAAAAAAGTGAGAATCTGTTTCTGCACAAACCTGCTG